TTCCCAAAACCAAGACAATAAGAAAAAACAATCCTTTTTTTTGCTTTTTAGATTTGATTATTTCTTTGGAAACTTGGACATACATCCGAAGGTTTTTTTTTTTTTAGAATAAACATACAGACGTAAATTCTGATTATTTCGCCACCTGTGAGGGGCAAAAATGCAAATCTTCCCAAGAAACAATGAATCTATCAAACAAAAACAAAAAAAAAATTGCCTTCTTTTTTAAAAAGAAAACAGGACGGGCATGTTACTGTATATACCAGCATCGGCCCGTAAATTCTGATTCCCGTTACATTCTCAAATCGCCCATCTCTTTCTCACATGCAAACTCTATCCCGAACTGTAGAATTTTGGAGCCAAGCACTGCGGCGAAGCCAGCTACCGTCTTCACCCAGATAGAACGCCCGGTCATTATCGCTGCATCTGGACTGGAAAATGCCCCAAATACAGCTATAATGACCGGGCGTTCTATTAGGGTGAAGACGGTAGGTAACTATCATCTCGCTGGCGTCGCCTCGTCCTTCCGATCCGTCGCATCCTCTACCGTTTTCGCTGAGGCTCATCATCATTCGCAGGTCCATCAGAACTCGAGTTCAGAACGTATGTGTGTGGATATTAAGCAAAAGGATTCCCCACACACACTTGCGCATTTCTCCGACTTCTCTCCCTGCTCCTCCCACTACTCGTCCCTCCTCTTCTTCATCGTCTTCCTATCATACGACTGTGTGCATGACGATAGGAAGGGGTCACTCCCAATGCATCTTTACCCCCCATACGTTTATAAGCAAAAGGATCCACCACACACACTTCGGCATTTCTCTCCTACTTTTCTTCCTGATCTTCTCACTACTACTCCCTCCTCTCCTTCATCGCCTTCCTATCATGCGCACAGTCGGATGATAGGAAGGCGATGAAGGAGGGGAGGGAGGAGTAGTGGGAAGAGCAGGAAGAGAAGTAGGAGAGAAATGCCGAAGTCTGCTTGATGGATCCTTTTGCTTATCCACGTACATTCTGATCTGGAGTTCTGATGGACCTGCAAATAATGACGAGCCATTCTTCTTCTTCTTCTTCTTCTTCTTCCTTTTGAAAATGAGAATGGAGAGAAACGTATGAGGAGTAAAGATGCATTGGGAGTGACCCCTTCCTATCATACTACTGTGGCATTACGTGCTAACCCCTTCCTATCATACGAATGTGGCATGACGATTAGCACGTCACTCCCAAATTCCCAATGCATCTTTACCCCTCATACTTTTCTCTCCATTCTCGTTTGGAAGAAGAAGAAGAAGAAGAAGAAGAAGACGAAGAAGAAGAAGAAGAAAAAGACGTAGATGAAGTAGGAGAGTCGTTTATGAATCGCTCTTGTGGTCCCCGTAGGAAAATTTCTATCTTCAGGCGAAATACACAGATCAGCAAGAAAAAGGTTCCTCTTCATTCACACATCGACCGCTTGGGGGAAAAGAAATTAGATCCAAAATAGAATGCAAGTAATGCATCACAGAGATGTCAAGTACAAATTGAACGACTATTTATCGGAGGACCGACAGTCAGACGTACTCCTGTCGACTCGTTATATCCCCACAGATGATCGGAATTTTTAAAACGAACCACAGCTTTATCTATATACCATACTAATAAAAAAGACGTGAAGGTGGGAAATGAGATGAAGAGAGAACCAACCCAGGCCCGATTCCTGGCATCGCTATGTAAGGGACGCGGGGCCCGGTTCCCAGCTTTTATATATAAATCGTTAATATATAATAAAATAAAATAAAATAAAAAAGAGACGGCACCAACGGGCCTAGCTCAGTTGGTACACCAATGACCTATTGAGATACATATCTCAGTTCCAATCCAGATGCAACCAGATGACCACAATACAAATCAAAAATCATTCTGAATTACCTGGAGCCGGTCAGTTCAATGATGATATCCAAAGGCCGTCGCCCTTCTGTTAAAAAAAAAAAAAAAAAAAAAA